ACAGCACCCCACCTTGCTCATTTCCTCCGACTCCGGCCAAATGCAGAAACCGGAGCAGAGTGTCTCCCCCCGCGTGAAGCCGGCTCTGGCGGGGTGGGTGGGCAGTGTCACCGACCGAAAGGCCACCACGTAGGGGTCCCTGGGGAGGAGAGAGCCCGGTAAGCCAGCGCAGCCCGGCCAGCGGGGAGCAGGAGGTTGGGGCCGGGGGCGGTTACCCCTTGCTGCAGGGTTTCCGTCGGGACGCCAGGATGACGAAGTCCTGTGGCTTGTTCTCGCGGCTGAGCGTCTGGCTCACCACGTGGTAGATCATGTCATCGTCATCTACTTGCTGGACGAGCTCAGCGCTCCTGCGAGGCAGGAGGGGACCGGTCAGAGAAACCCCGCTGTGGCCCCCAAGTCTGGCGGCTTCCACATTTACAGCCCACCACCATACCCAAAATATTTTTGGAGGACCCAAAATAGATATTTTCTGCTGCAAAGTGCAGCCATCAGCCCAGGCAGAGCCGGGACAGGGACATATGGTGAAAGGTCTGTAGGAGTGATCATGGCTCTGGGGCAACACACTTGCTCCCGGGAAAGCCCAAAGCAGCGTTCAGTGATGAGCCTTAAATTTTGGGATGTGATTTTTGGAAGGGGTCGGATGCCCCCGGGAAGCCCCGCAGCACTCACGCGTAGTGGCTGTCCCACTCGTGCCGGCGCCGCAGGTCGGAGAGCAGGGAGAAGGCTTGGCCGGCGGTGATGCGGACTGACATCTCGATGCGGAAGGAGAGGAACTTGTCCTCCTCCAGCGTGTACATCCGCACCTCGGGGAGCACAGGGCACGGGCTGGGACGCGTTCAGCCATCACCGAGCCCCGGGGTTGCCCACACTTTGGCGGCCAGAAGCTGCTCAGGGGGACGGGGCGGGGTTTAATACCTTTTCCTTTTCTCTGGCGAGTGTCCAGTTGGCTTTGGCTACGAGCGTCTTCAGCGCAGAGACGTTGTTGTAGCTCAGATAAACCTGGGGCAGGGGCAGCACGTCAGGGGCGGGAAGGGGGGCAGGAGGCAGCGACTCCCGCGGGGCAGCACCCTACCTTGTTGCTTTGGTCCCAGGGCACGGAGAGCGGCACCTCGGTCTGTTTGCAGGAGATGACATATTTTCTGCAGGAAAGGAATGGTTTCCCTTATGGTGGGACAGAAACCACCCACAGACTGTCCCTGTACCCCAGTGCCAATCCCCCTCTCCTCCCTCCTCCATCCCCGCATCCCACTTGCTTTTTCCACTCACCGGTCCAGTCGAATTTTTTTCCTAGCGCTGGCTTCTCTGTACCTCCTCTCTCCGTCCTGATAAATGGGAAAAGCACGTTAAGCTAACAGGAAAAGGAGTTAAAAAAAACCCCACGTCTTTTTGGGAGTGGGCAAAACATTCAGCAGGGAAGGGCTGGAAGGTGAAGCCCCTGCGCTCGCCGGCTGCCACCCCAGCTACGCTGGCAGTGGTGGTTAGTGATTAACCGTGAGCTATTCTGCTGTGATCAAGCGACGGGCACTGGCACATTAGGAAAAAAGCCCTCGCTGCGGTTGCAGAGCTGCCAACAGCCACTGATCACGTCCCCTAGCATGTGCAAATGTCCCCTCCCAGAGAAACAAAAACCCCAGAACAGCTTGTTTTGAAGAAAGCGCTAGCGCGGTGTTTTAAAGCAGGCGGAGAGGAGGTTTCAGGGACCCCAGCTCCGGCCACGAGATGCTGTCCTGCAGGGTGGGAGAGGAGTTTTAAGGCATCAAAAAAATCGGGTAGGTGGGTACAGGTCAGCCAAGGGGAAGGCGACACCATCGCTCGCTCACGCTACGATGTACCCCGAGATGGGTATTTGCTTCACTGCCGTGCTTGCGTGACAGATTTTCTTAAATATTTGGATCCGAGCAAATTATGGATTAGGATGCTTTGAAAGGTAAAAACAACCTAAGAGGTTTGCGTTCTTTTCCCTAAACTATAGAAAAGATGAGCTCGAACTTGCAGGCAATATTCCGTTAAGCCTTGCATGGCTAATACGTCTCCACCTCCGCACGGGCAAGTGGCTTATTTTATTATTAGTTATACCGAGCAATCAGTTTAATTCACTTGCTATCGAGCAATTTGATTTCCATCATCGTAAAACTGCATTTGCTTTGCCGTGAATCCAAGCGCCTTTCAGGGCTAAGCAGGATTCCCGGGGGTCCCGTGCCACCGCGTCGGGGAGAAGCCAGCCCTGCCCGTCCTTACCCCCGGCTCGGGTGCCACCATCGGCAGGGTGCGGGGCCGGCCCTCCTGGTCCAGCACCACGAAGGTCATGAAGGCGCTGTTGATGTGCCTTCGGCTGACGGACATCTCCTGGCCGTACGCCTCGGCGCAGACCCCCACCTCCATGCTGGGGGGGAGAGGGGAGAGAAGAAGGGGTGAGGGTGCGGAGAGCTGCCAGGAGGGTGGGATGGAGACGCCACCATCGGCAGGGTGCGGGGCCGGCCCTCCTGGTCCAGCACCACGAAGGTCATGAAGGCGCTGTTGATGTGCCTTCGGCTGACGGACATCTCCTGGCCGTACGCCTCGGCGCAGACCCCCACCTCCATGCTGGGGGGGAGAGGGGAGAGAAGAAGGGGTGAGGGTGCGGAGAGCTGCCAGGAGGGTGGGATGGAGACCAGAAGGCGTTGTTGACGATGGCTTTGAGCACCAGGCGGTCCCCAACTTGGGATGGTCCCCGAAAGTGGAACATCTCGATGGCCCGCAGTGTGGGGTGGGCATGGCACAGCCGGCTGCGGGGGCAGGCGTTACCCCCCGGCCATGGCACCCTGGCACCCCACGCACCCCACGCACCCTCCCAACCCAGCCAGAGCTGAGGAGACCCCAAAAAATGTCACCCCTGGATTTCAACCACCCAAACCAGCCATGAGAGGGGACAGTAAGCAGACTGTGGTGAGTGTGAACCCTTCCCTGGGGTCCTCCAGCACCATGCACCCGTGGGACTCCCTGTACGGCATCGCCCAAGGGTGATGTGCTCAGGACCATCCCTTTGGAGGGTCCCTACAATCCGGCTGAGGCCTGACCCAGCCGGACGCT